TGTGTCCCTTATGGATCTGAGGAGTTGTAATCTGGATGGTCCCACTCTGACCACTGGGTACACTGCCTCTTGGATCTCTAAGGAGGTGCTAATTTAGCCTCTGCCTGAGGCTACCCAGCAGGAGCTATGGAGAGATGTACAGATTCCTTTTCCTTGTTTGGGGTTTGGGGGTGCCCAGATGAGGCCCAGCTGTGAAGCAATGCAAGTTGCTGTGGGGCCTTGGGCCTTCTTTTGGATGTTCTGACCCAGCTGCAGTTTGTTAGGTAATTTTAGATTTCATTCATATGCAAAAGCCTCTGTGCACAGCTTGGTTGGGGCGGGGTCTCAGGGGATCAACAGGGCGGAGCAAACAGCTATGGCTGATTCTCAGCCCTGCCCTAAAAGGCCCCGGGTCTCAGTGTCCTGCTGTAATCGGTAATCGCTGCAAGCACCTCTGAGAGAAAGCCTCCACAAGTTCCGTCCGCTGCCAGACAGTCCAATTTCTCCCCTTATGAGTGTGGGTCCCCAGAGACTCGCCCGGAACTGGCGTTCAGAGCAGTTGGGAGCTTGTGTCTCCCTCCCGATTGAAAAAGACAGCCGTGTCCTCATTTGCCAGCCCTTTCATGCACCTCCGTACCTCTGCACTTTACTTTCACACCGCACCTCCAAGATTGTGGTTGGCCAGCTCTCTTCTGAGGGAAACTTACTGTAGCTTGGGCCTCCTCTGGTGTTTGGAGTGTTCTCCACTCAGTTGATTGATGGGGACTCAGAGGGAGCATTTAGCTTAGGAGGTTTTATTGGGGCAGTCCTGGCCCTGGTACTCATCACTTCTGTTCACATTCCATTGGCCAGAACTCAGTCATGTGGCCACACCTAACTGCAAGGGAGTCTGGGAAATGTAGTCTGGCTGGATGCCCAGGAAGAGGAGGTGAAGACCAGCCATTCCTGCCAACTCTGCCAAAAGGAAGAACGATGGCACCGTTTCAGGAACTGTAGTGCATTGTGAAAAGGTGAATGAAGTGAGATAGTCACAGTGTCAAAGCCTAAAAAAAATTTTCATTTTTTAGGTAATGTCTGAAATTCAGAGAAACCAATGTCATAAGCCAGATGTCAGGAACCTCAGTGATATTCAGAGTGATTTCTCTACTTTTCATTCTATAGTTCCCTCTGCATTTGCTGTTCAGTTAACTAGAAGAGACTGACGGGTTTGAAGTAGCTACCTCTGTGTTCTAAACCCATCGTGTGCACACTTGATGTCAGCAAACACGGTCCAGAGATGTAGTTGCTAGGTTTTTTGTGTTCACTATAAACAAATCACTGGCCAAAATATCAGTTGTATTCCCCACTGTGTTCCTTCCTTCTTATAACAAGAAGAAACACACTGGAGTAATTACAGTTTGCAAAATAAATGATGTACTTGTTACTCAGAGCATGATCCATGGTCCTGTAATATGGACGTTGCCCGGGAGGTTTAGTTCACTCTTCTTTGAGAAAGGCATATTCCCAGGCCACTCCATAGTCTTGCCAAATCAGAATCTGTATTTTAGCAAGACACCTGGGGATTTTCTAGTTTATAGAGGTATGACCAGGAGCATTTGACTTGCTGGCTCTCTGGCTTCATTTCTTTAGTCTCTGTGATAGGTGAGTGGGGTGTGTGGGTGTTTTAAAGTCAGAAGAAAACAAAAATTTACACCCATACTGGTTGGGGTTTTTTTGTTTTGTTTTTGTTTGTTTTTTAGTTATTTTCGGGATTGAGGGGTGTGGAGTGGAAAAGAGAGAAAGTGTTTGGGAAGAGGATATATTTTCAAAACTGGTCAGTGAATTCTATTTTCCTCTCTGGTCTCCAGGTTATTTTATTTTAGCTTTCTGCTGTCTTCATGGTCTCTGTGAAAATTAAGCCTCAGGGAATTGCATAATATCCAGCACAGGCAGCCTTAAACTTTCACCTCTAGGGAAACTAATAGTTAGCAGGAAGGTTCTGTTCCTAGAAGGCTGGAGAAATTATCTACACATTAATTAATTAATTACCCATTAATACATCACCTTTAAGATACAGTCCATAGCAATGTATTTCTTGTGATTTCTTTCTCATAGCTATAAAAGTGGCCTACGATTGATAGTAGAGCCTTGTCAAGAGCATTTTTCTAGATTCGTTTGAGTATCTTGTATCAAAGAATCATTTTCCCATCTTTCTTCTTTGGTTGAATATTTTCTTATTTCAAGTCAAGGAAACAAGTGATATGAAGAAGAAAGCAAACACTCCTTACAGCTCCCAGCCCAGTGGTTCGGCTCATGTGAAAATGACTGTGCTGTTGACGCCAGTGTAGTTCCACGGCAGCCTCGCCTGCCACAGTACCTTCCGTCTCCGCCACCTCTGCCAGCACATCACCCCAGAGGGTCTATCGAGGACTCGAATTTGTGGGCAAGCAGAGCAGGCGATTGACTTGTCCTCAGCACATCTCCTGGCCCATATACACAGCTGTCCTGGACTTAGCGGCCTGCAAAAGGAAACCTCAAAACTCAGCTGCCTTGTCCCATGTCAGTTTACATTCACGCACAAAAGTGACCCTACTTCTAAGGTCATCTGTGAGGCCTCTCTGCTTCCCGGGAGGTCAGATAACTATGAAGTCCATGATTGCTTTGATGGGGACTTTTACACTGAATCTTGAATTTACGATGGAAGGAAAGTTTTTCTTCTTTTTGTTAGTGATCTGAAATGTTTGATGGCCCCTCTAAGGGAATACTGTAGGGTTTTAGCTAGTCATGAGCACAGGGGAGATGTAATGACACTCATTTGCCTGGTAAAATCTAAATGCTGATAGCAGTTGTTTTAAATTCCGTGAAGATGTAAGTTTTTTCTTGGTTGTGGGTAAGTGCATAAGAATTGCGCTGATTTTCATGAGTCATCGTTTCAGTCCTTTATTCGTTTTGCAGAGTAAGTGTTTGATGTAAACAGAATCCAGTGCTGCTTGGAGTCCTTAAAGATGAACCCAGGAGTCTGTTTTATGTGCCTGACCCAGCGCTCGGCTCTTCCTTCTCTCTCAATCCTCCTGCCAACTGGAGGGGAGGGAGTGGCAGCGAGGGGGTAGAGGAGGGTCTGTGATCTCCTCCAGTGCGCAGAGGAGTGAGCTCAGTTCCTATGCCAGGACCTTCTGTCCATTTTGGAGCCTGCATGTGAAGGCGAGCAGTATGAGGACACAGTGCAAGTGCACCTCCCAGCTGGGAGCGTGGGTGTGAAGGCGAGCAGTATGAGGACACAGTGCAAGTGCACCTCCCAGCTGGGAGCATGGGTGTGAAGGTGAGCAGTGTGAGGACACAGTGCAAGTGCATCTCCCAGCTGGGAGCGTGGGTGTGAAGGTGAGCAGTGTGAGGACACAGTGCAAGTGCACCTCCCAGCTGGGAGCATGGGTGTGAAGGTGAGCAGTGTGAGGACACAGTGCAAGTGCACCTCCCAGCTGGGAGCATGGGTGTGAAGGTGAGCAGTATGAGGACACAGTGCAAGTGCACCTCCCAGCTGTGAGCGTGGGTGTGAAGGCAAGCGGTGTGAGAACAGGATTCAGTGAGGAGAGAAGCAGCAGCTCCGTGGCTGTAACTGGGTAACTAATTTGTAGACGTGGGTATGAACTGGGAGGGAATGCAGACAGATGGGATGTTTTCAGAGTTGTGTTCACGCTGTTTTGGTAATTAAAAATAAACGAACTCTTTGCTGATAATGATGGGATGGCTGTCACTGTGCACAGAGCTAGGCTGCAGGCTCGCCCAGGGGAGTGGCACCGGGCGCACAGCTCTGTCATTTCCTTTGACTATGAGCGACCTCATTTCTGAGCCGGGTTGCTCATCTGTAAAGTGTGAACCATAGTTTCTATTGAGAGTCGCTGTGAGGATGGACTGCAGGCCCAGAGCCAGGCTCCGGGAGGGCTCGTCACACCGTCCCTACCAGTCGGGCCGACTGAATGCCGCCATCAGTTTGCACACTGAAGCTGGCGATGGCCAGAATTTCCTGAACTGTTCACGCCTCGTGAGTGGTGGTTTTAAGACTTACAGCAACTGATTTTATTCAGGTGCCACTGTAATGACTCCGAATCATTACTTTATTATTGATGCCAACAGCTCTGACTTTCTGTGCTGCTTGTGCACGTAGGGAATCACTTTTTCTGGAGAAGTGGAGCTCCCTTTCTGAGCACTTACTCTCCTTCAGCCCCAGTGGGTGAAGAAAGGCCAGGTGGTTTGTTAGCTGCTAACTGTCGCCTCCTTCCTGTGGGAATCCCTCCCTGATTGGGTCATCTCTACCTTTTTACAAAGACTGGAATTACTGCAGCGCCACTGACGTGGGACCTGTCGGGAGATTGGCGGTGTGTGGGCGGCAGCAGAAATGGCCTGTCTTTGAACTGCTCTGCTGTCAGAGTTTACATTTTTTATTTGTTTGCAGCCTGTCTCTTTTAGGTCAGTCTTTTAAACATCTCAAAAACTGGGTGACCTGGTGTAGTTTGCATCTTTGATCCACAGTATTCAAACCTGAGGACCACACCCAAATGCACTATTACAGTAGGTGATGTGTGTGCGGTGGCTCCTGCAGTGTTGGGAAGCTGCCCACTGTCCCCGGAGAGAGGGTGCTCTGGGCAGCTGCCTTCCCACGCGGATTTGTTCTAATCTTCCCTAGTCTTCCTGTATTCTGTGTCCACCAGGCAGGATTCAGAGCCCCGTGAAGGTCAGGCTCCCCCTACTAGACTCTTTCACACTGTGCTGTGACTTGTTCATCATCTGTCTTTTTTCTCCCCAGACTGTCTGCTCTTCCCAAGCAGCCATCTTCACCCTGGGGGTCGGGTGGGTGGGGAGAGCAGGCGTGAATAGCTCCAGAGGAGCCAAGGTGTAGCTTTTCAACTCCATAGGTATTTTCCCAAAACTGTTGTGCCTGAGAACTCTCCTGTGGTCAGCCATCTCTTCCAAACTTCACAAGAAAGGGACACTGCTCTCCCCCACCCCAAATCTTGCTTGTGCTCCCCAAGTGGAAGGTCTGGCAGATAAGAGAGCTGTCTGTCGGCCCAGCCACATAAAGGAGCTGAGAGAGAGAACCTCAGTTAGGAATCAGCTGTGGCCGCCCGCGCTCTAACACACAGCGTACTGCTGGGCTGTCCTCACCTTCCAGGTGGTCAGGGTCAGCCAGAAGTGTCGCTCGGGGCTGCGGATGTCTTTGGACCACTCAAGCATGTCTCTTTTGCACAGACATCGGTCAGTGCAAACTGCACAGACTTCCTCGTTAGTACATGGGAAGGCTTCCAGAATAAATTGTCGTGTTACAGGGTGGCTCCTTGAGTCCTTTGTTTGGAGACACAGATATTTCCTTCAGGGCGGATCGGGACGACTTTGCTTGTCTTGGATTTCATGTTTGCTGGTTGGCCTGCTCCAGGAGTGATGTTTTTGTCACTCCATTGCTTCCGTTGTAGTGTGTGACTTCTTTGCTGGTTTTGATTGGAAAATCCTGTCACAAAGATTAATGACATACTTCCATTGGAATTTGGAACGGACTAGATCGTCATACAGTTACTATCTGCCTGCAGTCTTATAAAGCCAGGGTGCGCCACCTTCTCTCTCCAGTGAAATGAGATATTTCAGAACAGTTCGCCAGGGTCTGCACAGCAGCCTTATACTTCTTTGGGGCCTTTGCACCAGTGTGAATACAGGAAACATTTTGAGGTAAACAGCTCTGAGAAGCTGCACAAACATGGCCAGCTCCTCCTCGCCCTGTGCTGTCCTTCATTAGGTTGGTGCTGTACTGTAGCTTCAGTATGGAGAGAGGTCGGAAGGTTTGGGTTTGTTGTCTTGGTTTTCTTTTAAGCTGACGGCCAATGTGAAGCATCCGGGTCCCACCACAGAGTGTTAGCCCCACTTCACGGACACATTCCACCCTTGTAACCCCAGAGCCCCTGGGATTGGGTATTTTCAGTCGTTTCAATGATGAAAGAAGATACGCCTCATGTGTAGCGCACTGTCCTGCGGGGTGAAGCGTGGGCTAAGTGTGTTTCGCTCCCTGATAGAGACAGGCACGTGGGAGTGGGGTGCTGGCCTGCCGCCCTCCCCTCAGCTCAGTTAGTGCTGTGTTCACAGTTCCGGCTCAGGTTCACGCTGACATCTAGAAATTGGTGCGCAGTAGTAGCTCTTTGGTCATTGCCTCCCGCGAGCGTTTCAGGGTAGTCGGGCCAGCTCCGGGCTGAAGCCTCGGGCCCGCTGCTGCTTCACAGGCCTCTGGCAGGGTGGGAGGTTCCCACGAGGCCACCTGCAGGGCCCGGCGGGTTTCCCTTTTTAAATAGCGTGAGCACCACTCGGTTTGCAAACATTTCCGAGCCCTGCTTCTTGGTGGTGGTGGTGTTTGTCTCTGTCTTGTGGAGTCAGCTTTGTGGCCTTAGTGAAAGTGTGTTACACGTGTGACTGTCACCAAATTCATTTCCAAGAAAGTTAAGTGTTATTCTCCAGGTGGGAATGGGCAGCTCATAGAAAGTACAGTCCTCTGGGTTTTGGAACTACTGTTTTGCTTCACAGAAAGTTCTATTTGGAATATTTACTTATTTTAAAGGCTGCAAAGAGAGTGGCCGTTCTCATGTTACAGAGCAGATAGGATCTCTGTCCACCAGACCCGCGTCTCCATCCGTGCCCCAGCTCCTTGTGTGTCCCTGAAATCACAGGTGGTTTCCAGGGTGGTGTGTGTGTGAGGGAGAGCACGTCGGGCCTTGGTGCACAGTCATTCCTTACACCCCTGGCGTGTAGACACGTCCGTAATCCCTCAGCCCTCCACGCAGCAGCCTCTGTGGGCCACGCGCAGGAAATTAACTGGCTTCCAAGCATGGACAATGGTTTGAAGACTAGACACTCAGTCCCCTGGAGACGGGTGGGGAGGCGCTGTAGACTCTCTCAGCAGTAATCACCGTTACTTTTTACGGTGCTAGAATCTTCAGTAGCAGAAGTGCTGTCCAGGGATGGTCCTCAGAATGGAATTGTTTCACATTGTAACTCTATTCAGGGTGAAGTGCGTTGAGGGCGTTGTCTCACAACTCACCACTGCCCTCATTACTCAGCCAGGAAAGGGGCAGCTCGGAGCGGGAAGAAGCCACAGGAAGCCGAGTGCCAGGGAGGGCGAGTGCGGGCTGCTGGAACCAAGGGGCACCTGCCTCTGCTGTTCTCAGGAGGCTTCCTGCACCCAGCCCAGCCCCGGGGCCTTAGCTACCCCCTGACTCTATTCCTGCGGGTCCCTTTCGTTCCCATCCAAGGACGACACCCCCAGCGGAAGGCTTTGCCCGCCCCCCCACCGTCTCCCTCAGCATGGGGTGTCCCGGGCCTCCTCCTGCAGAACAGGCTGCTGCTCCCCCGCAGGCCTCCCTGCGTGATGGCCAGAAAAGGCTCCTTTTCGTCCAGGCAGTCCTGGCTGGACACTGTATTGGGTCCTGTCATCGTTCTTTTTTAAAAATATATACTTTATTGATTTTAGAGAGGAAGGGAGAGGGAGAGAGAGATAGAAACATCAATGATGAGAATCATTGATAGACTGCCTCCTGCATGCCCCCCACTGGGGATCGAGCCCGCAACCTGGGCATGTGCCCTGACCGGAATCGAACCTGGGACCCTTCAGTCCGCAGGCTGACGCTCTACCCACTGAGCAAACACTGAGCAAACCAGCTAGGGCTGTCGTTGTTCTTATACCTTCTCTGTGGCACCGACCTCAGGATTTGTGGGTCAAAGGACGGTCTCTTCAGTCGTGAGACCCGCCCTAGAGCAGGAGCTGACCCCAGAGTGATGGGTTTCGGAGACAGAGCACAGTAAATAGCCAGTGGTCGGAGCTGGCTAAGCCAAATGGTGCAGGTGGGACCGCGGGAATCTCCCCACGGCCCCAGGGGCTGTGGCTGGGCTGAGGGGGCGGAGGGGCGGCTGACCCCTGGTCATGGACTCTGTCTGTCTTGCTCTCTCCAGTGTGGGGCCGCCTTTCAGGAGGATGACGTCATCGTGCTCAATGGCACCAAGGAGGACGTGGACACACTCAGGAGCAGGATGGAGGAGAGGAGGCTGAGAGCGAGGCTGGGGAAGGTAAGGGTCCTGTGTCCCTCCCCTGCTGCTCCTCTCTCTGCCTTGCAGTGGCTGCTGGGGGTTGGCAGGGTCTGAGGCCCTTTTACAACCTGGCAGGGCCTGAACACTGGACAGTCCAGCCTGGCTCTGCCGCACCCTCGCTATGGGGTGGGCACAGCGCTTCTCTTCCTCGCTCAGCGTCTTCAGTGACTGCACAGGGTGGAAGCAGGGCCTGTCTGGG